GGGCAGGGGTACGGGGGGGCAGCGACCCTGCGGCTGCCAGGCAGGGGCAAGGCCCCCCAGCTCCTCCCCGCGGGGACGGGACGCAGACCCAGGCCCCGGCCCCCTCCCGCCTCGGCGCGTCCCGGGGTGCAGGCACAGGGGTGACCGCAGGCATTTAATGGTCTTTGTGTAGAAAAGGTACAGAAGGCAGGAAGGGGCCGTGGGGAGCGGGGCAGGGAGCTGGTGTGGTTCGGCCGGTGGCTGGCAGGCTCCCTGCTCCAAGGCACCAGGACCCCCCACGGCCCGCAGCGACAACAGCGGAGGCAGCGATGGCGGAGTGGGTCCCTCAGCAGCCCTGCGGCAAGGACTGAGCCTGCTGCTGTGGCTCCTGGCAGTGAGGCCTTAGAAGTCTCCTTGAAGGTCTGCAAAGAGAGGAAGTGGGAAGTTTTACAGAAAAAGAGCAGTTTCTCAGAGCCAGGGGGTCCCCTTCAGGGTCCCCCAGGTGGCTGCATCCCTGCCCGGCTCTTACCGCTTTTCCGGAGCAGCTCTCCCCTCCGGCTGCGCTCCATCTCCTCCACAAACTGCTCGAAGACCCGCACATAGGGTGCCAGGCTCGTCTTCTTGTAGTCTGGAGGATTTGGGGAGCTGAGCAGGAGTGGGAGCAGGCGGTGAGGACCCCCCCATGCCCCAACCTCAGCCCCGCTCACCCCGCGCACGGCGCTTTGGCTCCGTCTCCCTGCCGTCCTCCTGCTCCCCGTCATTGCCGGCCACGTCCAGCTCGTGGCACAGGGAACTGTGGGAGATGGTGGGACATGGTGGGGGGCTGCCGGTGCAGCCAGGACCCCCTGAGCTGCCAGCCCCGCTCATGTACCTGATGGTGGGGACAGCAAACGGGTCAAACTGGTCCAGCCTCTGCAGATCCAGCGGCACGGAAATGCGACCTGCAAGGGAGGGGAGTCACCGCCGGGGGTGGCAGCCCCGGGGGTCCCCGTGGGGTGCCAGCCCCGCAGGCTGCCAGACCCACCTGTTTTGGGGTGGACGCTGAAAGGGCTCTTCAGCAGGTGCCCGACGCCCTTGCTGACATTGATGTCAAGGCGGGGAAAGCAGTACTGCAGCATGATTTCCCAGTCTGCGTAGCACGACGTGCCCTTCCCGCTCGCCGCTGCCCGCTGCGGGGACAGGTGGGTCAGTGGGCAGCAGGGCAGGCGGGAGCACCCGGCCCCCTGCCCAGGGTTGCTCCATGACCACTCACCCGCACCCGCTCCATCCTGCCCTTCAGCAGCTCCCAGCGCTGCACTGAGTCACGCTTCTTGGGGAACTCGCCCTGCAGTGGCTCGCGGTGCTGTGGCCGGCAGTCAAGGCTGATCACAGACACTGCTGACCCTGCTCCCACCACGAGGACCCTCCCTCTGGACCCGGCACAGTGCCCAACGGCACGGCGGGGCCACTCTGGGAAGGATATCTTCCGGGACAAGGGCCAGCACCTTCTCCCAGCTCTCTGGGCTGCCCAGGATGTCCTGGCCCACCAGCGCGTATGCCTCAAAGTACTTCTCCACCACACTGACCGACCGCCTGCGGAGGAGCGGGGAGGGAGTCAGCACCCCACGGCCGGTGGCTGCGGGGGCCAGGCATGGGGGGTCCCCACCGACCTGATGAAGGGGTGGATGGGCTCGGAGAGGTTCACCTTCTTCACGGTCTCTGCTCCACCCTGGAGGGACAGCGGCGGTCAGCCTATGGGGGTGGGCAGGGGGTACCCGGCCGCCCATGCACCCACCTTCACCAGGGTCAGGTACTCCACAGTGGCTGCCCGCAGTGCCGGGGACCACTTCCGCACCGCATCGTCGCAGACCCAGCAGTGGACACCCCTCCGTCCTGAGTACATCCACAGGCGATGCTTCATGCCCAGGTCCTCTACAGAGGGAACAGCCGGGCTGCAGGAGTGCGTCGGGATGGGTTGCAGCGTCTGTCCAAGCCCAGCAGCGCTGCAAACCCGCTGGGCAAACCCCACTGGGCACCAGCACATCCTCCACTCCCCCCCAGCCCCATGAGAGCACGAGCACTGCCCTGGCCCCCCTTTGGGGTCTGGGTGTTGCTGCGGGGCAGAGTGTGCTCTGGACGTGTCCCCGGTGCATGAGGCCAGGGGCCGCGTAGGTCCCTGAGACCCTCACCCACAAGCGCGCGATCGATGATGCGGACAGCGATGGTCATCAGGGTCCAGCACTTGGAGCAGATCTCGGCCGAGCTGCAGGCAGAGCACGGCGGGTCAGGCTGCTGCCCCATGCCCCTGCACCCCTCTCCCGGCCCCCTATTCCAGCTCGTGCCGTGAAGACCCCCGGGAACCTGCAGCACGTCCGGACATCGTCATAGTCCGTCATGTCAATGTCGAAGACCAGCTCCTTCTCCTGCGGCTGGAAGGCCCCCAGATGCACCGTGTTGTGCTGGTTGGGCTGCGGGGCAGAACGGGCTCAGCTCCAGCCAGGGACCCTGTGACCCGGAGGCCACGTCCCCCCTGGGGCTGGCCGGCACCCGTGCTCCCGGTCGGGGTGCTTGGGTGGGAGCAGGACTCACCCGGTGGGAATAGACGGCCCCGATGTCGATCTTGTAGGGGTTGGTCCTCTGCAGCTCCCGCTCCAGCTCCTGGGGGCTGCCGAAGGACTGGAACCGCAGGTAGACATCGTCCCGCAGCGTGAAGGAGAATTCCCGCAGCTGGAAGTAGTTCTTCACCACTGTGGAGGCACAGGGAGGGTTGGGGGGTTGCGGATGGGGTCGGGGGCAGCCCTGACACTGCCCTGAAGGCCCGCACCCCTCCCGCCT